CCTTTGCTTAGTGGATGACTCAGGAAATATTCTTAATATATCTTATGAGCAATTCATGACATCCAATTTCACCTAGATTAATTCACCTTGTTAAAAGTCACTCTATATTTAATCCAAGGAGAACATTTGCTTGCTTTGCTCTTGGGAGGCGTTGTTCTGTTAGATAAGAAATGTAACAATAGGCATGTGCGCCAAGTATTTCCATTTAAAAGGAAAATTTATTCGAGGGGGACGTTCTAGTGGAGGTCCTTGGTTGATGATATAGACTAGAAAAGAGCCTGAGTTTTACCTGGGAAATATTGTATTTCCAATAAGAAAGCACACTTTAAAATTGTAAATAAAATATATCCTGTCAATTCTAATCTGTCGAAATATTTGGACATTGACAGCTCATGTTCTTTTTGCAAACAAACAGAGAAGACAATAGCACATTTGTTTTTTGATCCAAGCAACGTTGGTCTGAACTAGGTTCTCATATATTTGATTTCGCCGATGTTGTACACTCCTATACTTTAAAAGTTATTATTTTTATTATAACAATACTAAAAATAAACCCCTGGAACATATATATTTTTTATTTTTATTTTATATGGTAATTTTTTCATTCACAAATAGTTTCCCATCCTATCCAATAAAGAATCTACCTAAAGAAAGAACCTATCTAATAAAGAATAAAAAAAACTATATTACAGAGAAGTATTTAAAGAAAATCCATGCATTTAGATGCTTTCTTTGTGTATGATTGTTTGAATCTCATTGTAATGTCTCTGTAATGCCATTCACAATCTGTTAAGAGGTTTTTAATTTGTTTTTTTATAAAAAAAAACATGTTATAATCATTTGAATTAAATTAAATAAACACAAATGCATACACATTTATAATTATAACTATCATTATTTTATGGATTTGTGTGTGATCCATTGGCAATTTGACGGTTTAAGCATTAATAAAAATAATAATAAAAAAGGAAATGTCCCTGAACACGGAAGAGAACACATTTAGGAATCGGAATTAGAGGCTAAAGAAAACAGCATTTATGCTCCGTTTCTTCGACGCGAACGTTGAGAAAATCTAACTATAGGCTACCGCGGGCAGATTCTTATTTCGCGGAAATTTGTATAATATATACATTGTGACAAACGTCAGCTGTTCATGAATTGTGCCTGACTTGTTGAGGAAACGCCCCGCAGTAAACTCCTGATCGATTTTGAGCGTAATATTTAAAATTAAATGTATAATATAATCTCATATAATGTGGAGACACATACATCACAACATTGCTGGACTTACCGATAATTCTAATGGAAACTGTTTTGTTCCACGGCGTTCTGAAATGGCGTCGTAGCCGATCTAAAGATGAACTCAAACTTTCAGTTTCGATTTCTTCTCTTTAGGGGTGGGCGAATCGATCCCGAGTGTTTATTTTATCGATCTCCTCTGAAGCTGTTAGCCAAAGTTTAGCGGGTTGTACCAAAATGTATTCATTGTTGACGCAGGTGTTCCTTTAGTTCACATTGCACTCTAAAAGGAGATTGTTGTAATTCATAAAATCATATAGGTCATACAGGTAGCACTTTGAAAGAAGTTTGTCAGTTGTGACCCTGCAGCACAAAAGCAGTCTTAAGTCGCTGGGGTATATTTGTAGCAATAGCCAACAATACATTGTATGGGTCAAAATTATAGATTTTTCTTTTATGCCAAAAATCAATAGGATATTAAGTAAAGATCATGTTCCATGAAAATATTTAGTAAATGTCCTACCGTAAATATATCAAAACTTAATTTTTGATTAGTAATATGCATTGCTTAGAACTTCATTTGGACAACTTTAAAGATGACCCTTATGACTGTTTTTTTTTTTTGTGGTCCATGGTCACAATTGTTTAAAACTCATTTTTGGTAGGTACTTTATCTGCATTAAAGATTCTTACTGTCGGTGTTCAAATAATTCATATTATTCAGGCTTACTATAATACAGACAAGGTTACATTAGCCTGTATACTAAAAATGTGATTTATTGTCACACTATTTATGGTGTAGGCCAATTAGATTGCAAATGTGTATTCATTAGTTTATGTTTGATATGGACATTTATATTCATATAAAACACAGATAGCTGTATTCAAGTAAGCCTGCTAGGGATGTGCGCGACGACTAATTTGACAGTCGTTTAAACGAAAGTTTTGTATCCGACTAGTCGACTAGTCTAAAAGCAAGAAACCCCCAAAAGATAGTAAGAAAAAAACCTCTGTGCGTGTGTGTAGCATATATAATAGCCTATATTTGAAATACTTAATCTATGAATCACACTGTCAAATCCCTCAATGAATTCTGCTTGCAGCACCCTTGCCACGCGTTATCATCATTTCATTTTAGGTGGTCGTTAAAAAAAATACACTCAACGGCGGCCAAAGCATCGCTTATTTATTCTAATCAGCTGGGGAAATGCAGAACAATGGAAAATCAATCAATAGCCTGACAGAATTCTTCATCTTCATATATAACGTTAGCCAATATATTAAAACACAAGTAAAAAACAATAGGAAGGTTTATCACGAAATAGCATTAAAAGGGCTTTTAAAAACGTACTTCGTGTAGGCTATATCGTCTAAAAACATTAGCTGGCTTTGGCCAGCCTCTCAGCCAGTGGTTCTCAACCCGCGGCCCGTCACGAATTCAATGCGGCCCACCGTGCTGAACACAATTTAAAAAAATAACTTTCAGTTTTACAATTCATTTTAGTTTTTACATTAATTTAAAAATGTAGCCTACTAAACAAATATAAGCTGTGACGTGAAAATTGTCTCGAAGCTCAGCCTGAGGGGCGTAAAAAAGTTGAAATGTAGTCGGCTGAAATGCAGAGCTCTAGCTCTGATCCAGCACACAGAAAACGATTTGACTGAAAATGTATCAGAAGAGATGAAAGAAAGATAGTGGTCATCTGCGCAA